GGGTGTAACTCATAGTATGGTCCATTTTTCTATAAAAACTGTTTTTCTAAAGAATTTGAGATTTTTTCACACATTTTTTGTCTGTTTTATCGGCATTTTTTCGGTATAACATGTGATTTCAATCGATCAGTTTACCGACGAGTGTGGTTTACCATTTCGCAACCAACGCTCGATACTGATTCATATTATGTCGCAAAAAATGAGTATTCTTAGAAATAAAAGCTGAAGACGATTAAATACTCGAAAGAAGTCGAAATCTTCGAAATATTTCATTTTACAAAAAATATAGAAATGTCGTATAAATATACAGTATGCAATCGAGTTTTGTAAATCAGAACTTATATTTTTTCAAAAATAAAATCCTATTGCGCGACCAGACTTTTCGCGAATAGATCTGATCTTCTGGAATTTCAAAAAATTAAATACGATGCTGGCTTCGCGGGTGTGGGTGTGAGTAGTTTATTCTTTTTATATGCGGATTCACATTCACAGTCACCTACGTGAGTATATAAGTGTTTATTATAAAACTACTATTCCTTCTCCTGAATGAATGAAAGATCCAATAAGAAGCACATGTTCTTCATATTGTTAACTATTTTCAATTGACTGTATCGCTCTATCTAACATCCACAGAAAACAATTTTTCACACAGATTTACCAGTTTCTGTTTTGTTTTTTTTCACAGCCATCGATGAGTTAGGATGATAATTGGATTTTACAAAATCACCCCTCAAAAGATAAAGAGCAATGACTTCTTTTATTCTTGAAAATTAGACACAAAATCAATAAAGACGAAAGATTTTTATTTTTATGAGACTCTTACCTTCTATCACCTTCAACTTTTCTTCCAAAAGACTAGTACATATGATAAAAATGGTGTATGAACGAGTATGTCTTTTCATACATCATTTTTATTGTTATCAATCTCATAAAACGAGCTGTTGTTGGTAGTAAAGCAGTTCCTTATTATTAATCTTGTTATAAAATCCTTTTTCTATTTATGCACATAGAGATAAAATCTTTCTTCAGTCGTAAACTTTTCTTCATTCTATAACGGTAAAGATTTTATTAACTTCCGCTGAGAGTGTGGGTGAGTGGGTTTGGGTGTTTTTGTAATTATGCCTGTGTCCATACCTACACCCACCCACACCCTCAAAATACAAATTTCGATATTTTAAATGAAATTTGACTTTTGTGCGAGTGTCACATTATTTCTTTCTCTTCTACAAGAAACACTTCAAAATAAATCATCAATAGTGAAACTAATCGTACACACCGATATTCATTAAACGAAAGAATCAATGAAAAATAAAAATTTCAGAATATTCAAATTCAAAAATAAAAATTAAGCTTGGAAATTAAAACTTTGATTAAAACAAGAATTCTTTCTCCATAAAATTATTCAATAAAAAGGCAAAAAACGAAAAATATCAAATTAAACTCAATAAAATATTGTTTTAATCAAGCGTTCATTTTATTTCGATAAATAATTTCTTTTTTCTTTTTCATAGTCAAAATTTCATTCACAAAATTATTTCAAATTTTTGAATTCGATGATTATCAGAATCAACGACATAAAGATTTCCTTCAACGTCAAATGATAAACCAGCGGGACGATATAAGTGATTTGATTTATCTCCTATCCCATTTCCACCAACAACAATTTCACCTTCGCCTTTTCCTTCACACCAACGCGTTACTCGATGATTCCCACTCTCTGCCACATAGATCTGACCCAAATCATCAACGACGACTCCTTCAGCATAAAACAATTGATTGAGATTCTCTCCTTGACCATTTCCTCCTGCTACAATTGTTCCTTCTTTTGCATCTTTTCTCCATTTTATCACACGATAATTGTACAAATCTGATACATAAACAGATTGATCTTCATCAACAAAGATAAAAGTAGGAGAATTGAGTTGATTGAGTTGGTTTCCTTTGCCATTTCCACCTGCCACTACAATTCCTTCGTTGTTGTATTCACTCATTTTCCATCGTATCACTTCATTCTTCTCATAATCTGAAACATAAAGGAATCCATATTTATCCATTGCCAAGCCACGACAGTAAATATTGTCAATGAGAATTTGTTGCTTTTGATTCAACCATTGAATCAATCGTCTGTTTCCAAGATCAGTAATGATGATCGAATAATTTTGTTGATCAACAAGTACAATTTTTGGAAAGTTCAATTGATCCATTCGATTCCCTTGCCCATTCCCACCTGCAACGATTTGTCCTTCTTTTGCATTGTATTTCCATTCAACAATACGATGATTCGCATAATCGGAAATGAAAATATTTTTCTTTTCATCAATAAAGATGCCAAGAGGGAAACCAAGTTGATTTAATTGTTGACCTCCTCGAGTTCTACCAGCCACAGTGATGGCATTTTGATTCCATTTAAGATTGATCTTATCTAAAACAAATGAAAATTATAGTTTCAAATATCTTAAGAGTATGGATAAGAATGTTGCATCTATCATTCACCAATCTACTCACTTTTCATTGGTGGACACATGTTTAGACCAATCATCGTAACTGGATAGCAAAGTGGAAAATCATCGCATTGTGGATGGTGAACACAAATCGTGTTTGGTTGAAGACATGAATTGTCTGATGGATTGCACCGCAAAAGACGAGAACATGTTGGCCACAGAAAGCCACAGACGCCTGTGTCGTCATCAGCACCCATCATATGAAAGCATCCACATGCACTGTTTGTGGAACATTCACCATACTGTGGTGTTTTCTCACATATTTGAGATTTGATTTGAACTATGAATGTGATAAACTAATACATATAAACATAAAATAGAATAGAAATCAAACCTGTTATGCTAAAATATGAAATTAATGGATGTTAATAAAATAAATGATAAGAATGAATAATTATTTACCTGAAAAGAATGAAAACGACGCAGCAGTAGATATTGATTGTAGCCATAGTTGATTTTAGAATAAGAGAA